AGAGAAGCTTTATACAACACCATCACACGGCGTAATAGCTGCAGAATCAATAGAAGTGATTCAACATCAGTGGAAAACAGAATGTGGAGTGTAATGTGGCTATATAAGAACTCATTACTCTACCAAGCATGCTATACATCATATTAGGCTGTCTTTCTGGGCTTAATGCTGTGGGCGTGAACAGGTGACTCAGCACTTTTAACAATGAGCCAGCACATTCTTCTCTACGCAAAAATTACTAGATTTGTGTGAGGTAAAGGTTGGCAGACTGTCAGTTATGATTTACGTTTAATTTGGATTTTAATGGTTTGATATCAGCTGGGAGACACTCCAGATGTGTCAGTGTAAAATGTAAGATGAAGACATTCTTAAAATTTTATCAAAATATAGGCGAGTAACTTTTCTGGTGGTGGGTATACCCTGCCTGATTCATTAGTCAGTTTCAGCATTCGAAACCGTCTGACCTCCCAGCATTAGGATTCGTTCGCTCGATGGTAGGTAGGTACTTTTTTTATTTAACCATTTGCTGCTATTTTGTTGTGACGTATGTAATGCTCCAAATCCCGTAGAGAGAAGGGCAACAACGTCTTGTTTCAAATGGTTGACAAGTATATTAGCCAGTCAAGGGCATGCATGGTCTGTCCATGTTGGAAAAATAAAGGAAAAAAAATATCACAGGGGACTGAAAAACATGGTAGATTTCTGCCAGAAATAGATTTTATTTGTAAATGATATGTGCTCTTCATTTCACATGCGTCATTGAAAAAAAAAAAAAAAAGTCTGATTGCGATCACGTCTGACTGGACTTGAGATTCGGCAGAGGATGTGAGGACCAGACTGATATTGATCAGTATTTTTTAAAAATACAGAGAGATGTCATTCTGGGTTTCCAGGCAAGCTGCAGGCAAGATGTTATTGCTAATGTTTCACAGTAGAGCAGAGAGAATAAACTTATCTATCCAGCATTCATTCAGCTATGGGGTTTTAATGACTCAAAAATACCTTAAAACCATGTATTACTATGAGTGAGCCTTCCTCTCTGCAGCTCTGAAGTGAGTTACCCTCGTGAAATATATTTCATGCCCTTCTGTGGAACATTCTGTACGGGAGGTGGATGCTCAATCAGCAATGTTACAAAGTGCATCTTTAAAAACTAAAAACAATGGCATGTCTAATTCCATAAAATTATGTATGTTCTATTTAGCTCAGCACTGCTGACAGATACTTTTAATTCATATTTGAACAAGTCAGCTACTTTGAGCCAGGCTGTTCTTTCAAAACATGCATTTGCTTTTCAGCTTAAGGTCTTCAAAATCACCAGCCAAATGTGTTATTCATGTTTAGTTGGAAAATAATGAGCAGCATCCCGGGCGTCAGAAACAGCACAGTGCTAATGGCAAAAATGAATTGAGAATGACTTGTAGATTTGTTGCATCCTTGGTGTGTTATTATGGCAGTGATGGAAAACAATGACGGAAGCACAGCCTTACCTGTTTAACCATCGTTTTGACTTATCAGACTTGCAAAACGATCTAGTCTGCTGTGTATGCGCACGGCTAGAAATCTGTCTGAAAGGGAGATGGCCTTGCTGGAGTATCTTAAGGAGGCTCTACTGAATACGTCAGCAGCAGCCCACAGAGCTGTTCACAGGCTGTCCTTGGAGAGTTTGTACATCAGAAACAATGAATGAGAGGTCACGTGGAGACATGCCAGCTCTGGCATCGTCACAATATACGCAGCTATACAGAAATAAGAATGCAATATTTTGTCTTGCAATTTTACCAGTAATGAACGCTCAAGGATATGTTTTATTATTTGTTTGATTAGCAGACTGATAAAAGGTCAGATTAAATTACTGCTGATGGAACTATCACCAGAACAACTCAGAATAATACACTGGATACACAGGGGTACAAAATGTGCGGGACTAGACTGATAGTGAACGTTTTCAATGCAACATATTTTCACTCACTTGGTTCAAATAGTGTTATCAGTAAAAAATAAATATAATGTAAAGCAGTGTTATGGAACAAATTGTCCACGGGTATGCCCACCATCACAGACTTTGGCCTGTTTAAATCCAGGCTCATAACTTAGCTATTCAAAGTGGTTTTTAACAGTCACAGCAATGCAGTGACACTTGGCATGTTTTTATTTTTTCATTGTTTAATGTTTTTGCATGTTTTATATTGTGTTGATTTTAATGGAAAGCACTTTGGTCAACTGAGTAGCCTAATTCATCAGCCGGTTTCACTTCGTGGAAACCATCTGATCATGCAGCGTTAGAATTCTTTCGCTCGACGGTAGGCGGGTACTTTTTTTATTTAACCAATCGCTGCTATTTGGTAGTGATATATGTAACGCACCACTCACGGGGCTAACCAGTATATTAAGCTTTTCCCAAATACTGTAGGAAGAAGGGCAATAATGTCTTTGACCTTGATAAAATTCAGCAAACATTCTCTTTGTTCCGGCTTTAAATCCTTGATCTTGGGAATAGTTGCCAACACAGAATGTATGGCTTTTCGCTAATTGGCTGGTGCGAGAACTTGCACTTCCGGGGTTTCTTGGAATCGTCTAGTGTATTCCGATTCCTGACCTAGTTGCTAGAGAGAAATGAAACTGAGCAGAGGCACTAGGTGATGCCAGCCTGGCTAGTTGTATAGGGCTTTATAAATTTAAAAGATTGATTGATTGATGGTGTCCACTAAGATGCACACTGCTTTCAATGTATATTGTTTAACAAGAAACTAAATGCTAATACTTAAGATCATGAAAACAACTCAAAATACTGTCATGTATTGCAACACTGTTTTGATTTTTCTTTCATTTTTTTCTTTTTTGAGAGGGCATTATTTTAACTGAATGCCCTGTGGGTCACTAGGCAGGAGGTTGTCATGAATGCCAAGACAGAAAGATAAAACTATCACAAAGACTTGGATTTCACAGTAATTAGATTGTATGTGCCATTCTATAATACTCTGCCATTTCACAGCCCAAGGCCAACATCACATTTTATATCAAGCTTCCTTTGTTGACTGCAGGGAGCTATCCACCAGTTCGCCATCCAATGACATTACAAAGGACATATTTGGCCTAACACATTGACAGTCGTTAAAGGCGTAAAAGAAGATATTTTATACTTTTTTGAATTAAACTATGACATATATAGATCATTATTTTACATTTTGTCCAATTATTATCTGAAACTGGTGTGGCTGTTTGATTTACTTGTTGAAAATTGTGACATTTTTATCCTCTTTATGACCCAGACACTTTTTTTTTTTTTAATAATCACAAGTGCAGAGAAGTGGGTGAACATGGGGGGGTAGTTGAAAACTGAAATTTTGTGAGCACTCAATCCTCAAATGCATGACAATACAGGATTAACATCAAACATGCATGAGTTAACTGAAATACCTTATCTTATCTTGAAGCTTTTGGTGCCAGTCAAGTCACATATGTAACGAAGACCCTTATGGGGAGACCGTTACGTAATGAATAACCCTATGTCCTGTCAATAATTATATCATTGTTACACTGTCTTCCTATGACTTCTTGTATAAAGCTGTGATTTTATATTTTATTACTTATCTTTCTATTTTATTTTGACTTGTACATAGACATTTTATAATTATGTCTTATTTGACACCTGTCTCTTGCTATTGTTTTTGCTACTTTAATTTAATTTGCTATCACCATTTGTATTTTATCTCTTTGTTATTATAGTATATTTTGATGTGTGAGCTACTGTCTCCAAATAATTTCCCTTGTGGATCAATAAAGTTTGTCTGAGTCTAAGTCTAAGTCTAATAAGGTCATCACAATTGGATTCCAGTCCTCTATTGTCTGGAAAGAAAGTGAGTTCAGTTTCTATAACATTTTCTTTGTATGTTGATGGGTTGTTGCCCCTTCACACAAACCCCAACCCTGAGGATCAGGATCTGACCTTCATCTGCCCCCCCCACCCCCCACCCCCACCCAGCCCAAACACACAAGAACATCCACCACTACAAGGTGTCAAATCATAGATGACTGTGAGTACACAATTGAAGAGGAACCTTGAATAAAACCTTGAAAGCTCATAAAAGTTTATTTTCCACAATACTTCCCCTTTAAAACTATATGCACCACCTGGACTACAGCCTACTTTAAAGGAGAGAGAGATATGTCTCCTAAAGGGGAGAAAGATATGTCTCCTTTAAAGTACTGCATACTAAACACCAAGTGATTAGTGAAGAACAAAATCTGAACAGTCCTAGTTTATTTATTTGTTTGTTTGTTTTCCCACTGACTATTAACATAACATAAGCCACCACTTGACAGCTAAATTTGTTTTGCTAAGAAAGGGCGTATTTATTGCTTAAACGAGGGGGACATCTAGTGGTCAATCATATATTACTCACTTACTTATTGTATACTTTTATTTGAGGATATTGAGAAAACAAATAACAGAGCTAAAAACAAAATAAAACGTGCTATAAAAGATTCAGTGAAAAAATATTTTTTTTAATCGACTAAATAAAAAGAAACTGGCAGCTTCTTTAAACGTTGTGGCAAAAGTTAGATTTTGTGTTTCCAACGTAAACACTAATGTAAACTACCAAAGCACAGTGTACATGAGTGCACCGTGTTGGCCTCCAGGGCGCGCCAGTCTCAATGTTCAGTCCGTGCGTCCACCTTTTTACCTGGCGCACGCGTTTATGAGTCAAGCACACATTACCAGAACCGAGCCCCCATATTTCAGTCTAAAATAACTTCATACTAATCTTTTCACATCACTCCCTATCGGCTAGCGTCATCCTTTGTGTGTATTATGATTAACCCGTAATTGAACTGAGTTGGTTTTGTGCGCCGAGTCCGATTATTTACACAGGGGCGTAGCGCGAAACCTTTACCGGAAACACGTACCTTTATACTGGGTGCAACTTGACGCACCCATCTTTCGCTACCTCCACAGGTCCCTCCTCCCCCGACGAGTTTGACAGCTTCGGAGCTCATTTGCCAGGACTGCGGCAACAGGCTGACGCACTCTCACTCACTTTTAGTCACCTGTTATTTACTGGATACATGCTGGTTTTGCGTCTTCTCCTGGCTATGGGGAACTGTCGGAATCCACTATTGTAATCTCTTTCCTGCTGGTTGAAAATTGGAGTTTCTAGTTTTGTTTGTTTCTTTTTTTTTTTTTTTTTGTACAACTTTTACCAGTGGAAGTCGCGGATAAAAGCGTCAAGATGTCAAAAAGCGCCACGGAGGAGGTGAACAAGCTCACAGAAAGTACATACAAGGTGAGCACATTGTAACCTGTGGGATATAAGGATAGAACATGGGATCCACCTGAAATTGGACGTGCCCCGTGAGAGCGCACACCTTTAGCACGAGTTCACGGCTGTTTTGAGTTACGATATGGGAATTGCTAATTGGGCTACTTTTACCCAGAAACAGGCCTTCCCCAAATCAGCTAATTTAACTAAAAACTCTGAGGAATGGGCCTTTTGGGAAACTTTTTACAATAACTTGTTTTGTTTTAGAAAAAAATCTCCAAATATTCCTAAAGCCTATCTTGAGGTTTCCTTAGAGATTGCCCCTGTAATGGAATGGCAGTTGCCGTGCTGAATCACTGGTTTGAGGAGGATAGCCCCACCCTAGGAGTGCCCTGTGCATTATTTTGAGTTACCAACCTGCCTGACCGCCCTGTGTTACACTGCGGGGTGATGGCATGTGTCTCTTTGACTTGGAGGTAAAGCCTCATTGAGATGGAAACCTCTGTGCATTGTGGCCTAGTGTTGCACATATTGTATGATTCCAATGCAGCACAAGTATAAGTTTAAGTTGCTTTTTTTTTTTTTTTTTTTTTCTTTGCTTTTTCTTAATGTTTAATCTCTGGAAAGAATAGTCTGTGCTCCTAACGCAGTCAATGAGGAAGCAAAGATAAAATGATCAAAAATATTCCAAAGCTATTTGCCTATTGTTTGTGAAGTACGTCAAGTCATAGTTTTAATTACTTACTGATTTTATTGATGGAAATAAGTTATTGGTTAATAAAAGTAAATCCACCCTGCGGTCAGACTTGTCTTCTCTGCTGTTCATAACTTTGCTTTAAGATGACTTCTCTGCGTAATACCTGGCCCGTTTATGTTGAATGTTTGTGCCAGTCAATTCTTTTCATTTATTTTCTACTGAAAGGGGTAAACTGGCACCATGTACCTGTTTTAATTACATCTGCACCTCCACCTGCTTGTCTCCATGGTGATGTTATATCTTTGCCTAAAATGTTCCACAGTATTGCATAAAATGTGTAATTAACTGATCCTTATCTCAATGGAGACAAGAGGGTGATACAGTCAGACCAATATCAGTACAAGTAGCAAGATCTGCGGAGAGGCAAGCCCACTCGGAGTACTGTACAGTAACTTATATATCCCACTTGTAAGTCTAGTGTATTTTGTTTTGCAATAAAACATGTTTTAACTAAAATGCTGCATCAATAACTATAATGCCATACTGTGGAACATTTCAGGCACAGCAGTAACCTTTCCATGGAAGTGAACAGGTGATCAGCCTTCCACCAGAAAAGTTCCATTGTGCACCTTTTAACTGGTTGTGTGTTTTGGGTCATTCATTGTTCAAATCCTGTACATGATTCATTTGGCAGTAAATGTGTACTACTAACCAACAGGAGTAGCTTAGCCTTCACGGCACACCTAGCCAGTATAAATGTAGAACTATTTCTGTCTTCTTAGCAGTCCTGTGTGAGATGGTGACAGCTCCTTGGTATGATGAAAAGCAGCTAAAAGACTTGAGGATTAATAATTCAGTTGCTTGTGTGTGTTGTGGGGTAAGATTATACAGCAAGCTTTCGGTGGCCATCACAAGCCTTTATGATGCACTGCCTTATGAGTGGTCTGTGAGTCACTCACTGCTCAGAACCCAAGGAAGATCTATGTTGTGATCTGGGATGGTCTGGGATCCTTTCCTCAAAGAATCCTCTACATTTATCCAGGCTTTGCAATGTCCCAAAGACTGGACACTTCAACAACAAAACCTTATTGAAGTAAAAGTAACTTTTGTGGCATTATGTTTCCATCAACAGAATGTCATGGAACAGTTCAACCCAGGGCTGAGGAATCTGATCAACCTGGGCAAAAACTATGAAAAAGCTGTGGCTGGTAAGAGGTTCATTTTTCTATTGGTGATTTGGATGGTGGCCAGTAGATCTGAGAAATATAATAGAAGTTGCATTAGCATTGCAATTGCAATATTTAAATACACTTTGTCTCTACATAGTAGTATGAAGTATTTTACAAATATTTTCTTTATAGAAAATCAGAATTCAATGATGATGAAGGCATGATGCGTCAGCTACAATAAAAAAGTTGCATTCTCCAACTCTATTAAAAAACATAATGGGTAGACTTAAATGTAATGGTCAGAATCCTATGAATCCAATAATGCCCAAGGTCACAATGTCGTATAGAATCTTTAACAAAAACTCAAATATATTTTAGTCATTGTTACTATAACCAAAGTACATTTCTTTTCAGCCATGATTCTGGCAGGGAAGTTGTATTTTGATGCCGTGTCAAAGATTGGAGAGAATGCTGCAACATCCCCAGTCTCCAGAGAACTGGGTAAGTTTTCATGTTGTTTACTGCACACTTAAACATAAGATGATGAAAAGCAATTTGTATGATGGGAAACGGTTATTGAGAGATTAATAGGACTCATTCCTTTCGAAGTTACAAAGTATTACAACTGTTGGACCAATAGTATACACACTATTTGTTTCAGATTTACAGAAAAATTTACTTATTAATCATGTTTGCTGTTACCAGGTTGATTTGTGTTTTATTTTCCAAATAAAACACAGGGAGACGTAGCAGTACACAGTATAAAAAAAAAAAAGAAGGAATCAAATGAATTCTAAAATATATTTTCTCTGGGGCCTGTGGCAGTGGCTGGGGGACCAAATCTCAGTTTTTTTTAGATTACTTCTGTGGCTCTCTAGTTTTTCATGATGTGTGCACCATAATGAGTTAAGTGAAGCATTGAGGTGTGCAGACTTTCATTTCTCTTCTCATTCCCCTATGTGGTGGAACATTACAGCATTTCTGGTGTGTTATATTTCCAATTTTGAGTTTTTTACAAATATGTTTGAGCTCTTAATCAGTGCTGTACAATGACTGCATGTCTGTGTGACATTCATTTAGTTACTATCTAAAACAAAAGAGAAACAAGTCTCCTTAGGGACCATTACAGGTTACTGTTTAGGATACACATAACCAGCAAATGGTTAGAGATATCTTTATGCAGCAGTCCTGTTTGGCATGTTTAGTCACTGCCACCAGAGTCCTGTTTGATGTAACCATAGTTTGTTTGTTGATTGACAAAAACTGTTAATTAATTTTAGCATCAGTGGGACGTGCCACCTGGCACTGCGGTGTCTGTGTCCTGGCTGTGCAGTTCAGAGGAGGGCATGTTTGTTTCTCAAGACAGTTATGTGGGTAGAATAAACTCATTGCTTTCGAAGCAATGAGTTTCTCCTTTGCCATAGAACAAATGCATTAACCATGTACAGTGGGGGAAATAAGTATTTGATCCCTTGCTGATTTTGTAGGTTTGCCCACTGACAAAGAAATGAACAGTCTGTCATTTTAATAGTAGGTTTTTGCATTGAGAGATGGAATATCAAAAAGAAAATCCACAAAATCACATTACAGAAAATATATAAATTTCATTTCATTGAGTGAAATAAGTACCAACCATTAAGAGTTCTGGCTCAAACAGACCAGGTAGACACTCCTAAGCAACTCTTCACCTGAATTAGACCCCTGTCCACTGAATCAGTCAATTAATCAGACTCCAAACTCTCCAACATAGAAAAAACCAAAGAGCTGTCAAAGGATGTCAGGGGAAAGATTGTAGACCTGCACAAGGCTGGAATGTGCTACAAAATCATAAGCAAGAAGCTGGGTGTTAAGGAGACAACTGTTGCTGCAATTGTTCAAAAATTTTAAAAATACAAAATCACCATCAGTCGACCTCAGACTGGGGCTCCACACAAGATCTCACCTCATGGGATTTCAATGATCATGAGAACATTGAGAAATCAGCCTTGATCTGTACAGGAGGAGCTAATCAATGATCTCAACTCAAGAAAGCTGGGACCACAGTCACCAAGAAAACTATTGGTAACACTTTACGCCGGAATGGATTAAAATCCTGCAGGGCTCGCAAGGTCCCCCTGCTTAAGAAGGCACATGTGCAGGCCACCTGATGTTTACCAATGAACACCTGAATGATTTAGAGAGTGATTGGGAGAAGGTGCAGTGGTCAGATGAGACCAAAATGGAACTCTTTGGCATCAGCTCAACTCACCGTGTTTTGACGAAGAGAAATGGCGCCTATGACCCCAAGAACACCATCCCCACTGTCAACTTAGAGGTGGAAACATTATGCTTTGGGGGTGTTTTTCTGCCAAGGGCACAGGACAACTTCACCATGTCAACTGGAGGATGGACAGAGGCCATGTACTGTTAAAATCTTGAGTGACAATCTCCTTCCCTTCGCCAGGAAACTGAAAATGGGTCAATAGGTCTTCCAACACGATAATGACCCAAAACATACAGCCGAGGCAACGAAGGAGTGGCTCAAGAAGAGGCACATTAAGGTCATGGAGTGGTCCAGCCAGTCTTAGAACTTAACCTACGGAGGGAGATGAAGCTCCAAGTTGCCAAGTGACAGTCACAAAACCTTAATGATTTAGAGATGATCTGCAAAGAAGAGTGAACCAAAATTCCTTCTGATGTGTGCACAAACCTGGTCATCAACTATAAGAAATGTCTGACCTCTGTGCCACCAAACAAGGGTTTTGCCACCAAGCATTCAATCTTTTTCGACCAGAGGGTTCAAAAACTTACTCCAGTGAAATGGAAATCACTTTATATACTTTCTTTTTGATCTTCTGTCTCTTAATGTCAAAATAAACCTACCATTAAAATTATAGACCGTTCATTTCTTTGTCAGTGGACAAACCTACAAAATCAGCAAGGGATTAAATACTTATTTCCTCCACTGTATTCCTAAATAAAGATCTATAATAAACCTATTATTCTATAGTGTCAAGACAAATCATCTGGTCACTCAGGTCACACACACTGATGATGAATGCAAAGTAAATATAAAAGCACGTTGACTCTATAGCAGTGCAGTGTGTGGATTAGGACATAAATGGTGTAGTTTAAGTCTGTAGCTGAATGAATGTGACTTGGGTTGATGACTGAGACAGCTTCTGGATGTAGTGAGGCAGATCTGGTGAAACCTGAGCTGCGCTGACGCGTAGCCAGCTCGAAACCAGACCCTCAGAGTCAGTGGAGGATGGTGCTCTTCTCCTCCTTTTCCTCTGCCTCCCCCTGCTCTTGTGTCTCAGTTCAGATGTCAGCAGGGTTTTCATTCTGCGCCTCGGAATCATGACACTCTCATACAGTGAGCAGCAAAAACGCTGATGAATCAGGATTTAACCCAGTCAGAGAACAGTCAATGGAGCAGTTTTCAAAAAGACTTGGTTGTAGAATGTGTTGGTCATATGGAGCTTAAGTGTTAGCAGAGCCCTTTTACATAATTCACGTGCATGTTTGCATGCTGTGAGGTGTGCGTGTGTCCCAGACCACAGGGACTGTGGGCCCACAGAGACACACCTTTTATGCAGGGAGGAAAACCACAGTTTTATTCTAGATGTGTGTAATCATTTCTCTGAAACCAAAAGAGCAGTTCTGTTACATTTTCAATAGTTGTCCAGTTGTTTTCTATGATAAAATACAGCCGTTATGCTCCGTGATCTCTCAGTCTTTACTGAAGTGTTTTCAGGTATGATCTCAGCAGGGTGAGCCTGGTCAAACAAACCTGTGGCCAACCTGCCACTTTTATCAAGGTTCACTTTGTTGAATATTGGCAGTGGCTTCTGAGGTTGTCCACAGTGTGACACACTCTCGCGCCTCCACATTACCTGACCTAGTACAACTGTTGCTCGGCAACTGCCATCACAATAAACATAATGGAATAAGATTATCAGATTATAAGATTCAACTCAGTTGGTTTTGGTGTTACAGGTTGTATTCAGTATGACTCAGATACAGTTCACTAAAGTACGTGAACTTTCCAAAGTTTTGGTGTCATCTTTTATAATGATCCATTTTTACAGGAATGTGGTCTGGAGAGATTATCAAGATTATTATGAATCATATTTTGAAACAAAGTTCTTGCTCCTGTTTCTCTGTTAGTTATAAATACAGCTATGACAAAGGACATGTCAAATTTTTGAGATCTTCCAGATCATGACATTTGCTTATATGTATGAAAATGCAAAGAAAATGAACACATCAACATTAGGCTTTACTAAAACAAGCTGTGCTGGTCTCTGAGCGACCAAACCAGAAACAGAACATGATAAGCAGACAGTCAGCTGGGAGGCCATGTGGTCTGCATGGACTGTGTCCACAAGAATCAGTCATGACATTTATGTTTATCCAAGTACAGTAGCAGTTCTGACACAAAATGAAAGCACTTTGTTTTAGTTCTTCTCTCTCATCTGATCTAATCTCTCTTGTTTTATGTGGTAGGTGTGGTTTTGATGGAAATCTCAGAGGTTCATCGTAAAGTTCATTATGAGCTGGAGGAAAATGTAAGTTCAGTTCTCTTTATGCAGCATCCCTCTCCCTCCACTGGATACAGTGCACCAGACACACCTGCTGCTTTATTTCCACTGTGTGGACAGGCCTGAACATGCCTCAGAGCACAGCTGGGGCTCAGACACTATGCACAGCTCACTGCTAAACAATGTAGAGAAATGTCTGTGTTTCTATTGTTCTGCTTTTATATTAGGAAGTTTCTGTGTATGAGAGACAAAAATGTCACAGGATAAAGGCAACATTCCCAGTAAAAGTTTGTGGCTTCTTGGTTAATTATAGCACAAATTCAAAGTATAATATAAACACTTAGATGATGATGATGTTTGTAGAGAGAAAGCATGTCCGTGCTCCACGTGGGTCTAATGTACGGCACACGTCTCTGGTGATGGAGTCTCACCACACTCACACTCACTTTCACACTGACACTTATAACAGTAGCACAAGGCTGTGGGCTTTCCCACGCTCCAGCACTGACTCATGCAGACATTCACCTTGGACTTAGCTCTCACCCCCACACACACATACTCCATACTTTTTCAATATCACCCTCCTTCTCACTGTTAAAGTGTTTTTTTTTCTTTCTGTGAGCTTCTGGAGACAGAACAGCTGACAAACGGTGGCCCATCCTCTCTATTGTTTTGTGCTCACCTCTGTGTCTTTGTGTCTTTGTTTCTTTCTCACCTGAAGTTTAAAAGGTTTCACCGGGAGATAGTCGCTGAGCTGGAGAAAAAAACAGACATGGATGTCAAATACATGACAGTGAGTAGACCTGTTCTTCCTGAGTCAGCACTTTGCTCTCCCCACTGCCTACACAATCCTCTATCATAAAGTTTGTATTGTATATTGGTTATTGTATAATGTATATACAAGACATATGTATGGTATACTGTGTAGTGAACTGTGTTTGGAAGAATACATTGAAAATGTATTTAGAATACTACATACCTAAATTAAAATGTATTTTGTGACATATTGCATTCTGTTAAATGGTTCTAATACCAATACTGTCACATTTAATTTAGAGACCGATATGGGGTTTTTCATGGCCAATATGTGGGGCCCATTTAGATTGTTTCCCAAAAATTATGTCATTTAAATTTAATATGAACTTCTCTCAAGCCCTATTTTATTGCAAACATTTAAGAGAGCAGTGTAGTCAGGTTTTGTGCAGTTATATCCTTGAAATAGCCGATAGACTAGCCGATACACTAATATCGGGCCAATATTTGCACTTTATCAGCCTATCTCTACTTTAGTTGCATTATAAAACATGACATGACATAGGATTGAAAACAGCTCTGTTTGTTTCAGCATTTGTTGTGCTCTTATCGCTAATTAGAGAAGGAAAAAAAACACATGCACTCACCACAAGAGCTCAATTTTTCTCTCCAATACTGTGCAGTTTGAAGCCTACATTGCGTTATCAAGTACTGCAATGTATTCCTTTGATTTTTGTAAACAAACTGTATTCTGAAAAACAGCCAATGAGAGAGTAACTAACCAGCATACGATTACTCTGCTAAAATGACTATTCTGAACTCATATTTTGGTCCGTGTATTTAGTTAGTTCCCAACACTGGTAGTATATAAGCAATACAAAATATTATGGGTCAATTTTATGACTGACAGAATCCAACCCAGTGCACTGATATTACAACTGATTTTTCCAGGCCACCTACAAGAGGTATCAAATGGAGCACAAGATGAAGCAGGATTCTGTGGAGAAGTCACAGTCAGACTTGAAGAAACTAAGAAGAAAAAGCCAAGGCAAGAATGCCAACAAGTACGAAAACAAAGAGAGTGAGGTGAGGCGAAAGCATATGTTTATACACTATTCAGAGATCTCATACTTCAATGACATTTGATAGATTAGCAGTTTATAGATTTGCATAATATGGGTGCAGGCTAATCCAGAGAGTAGGCCGTGTTGTGTTGACTGAAATGGCATCTCAATCACACATCATCTCTGTCTTTATTGTATGTTAATTATACAGTTAAAACTCACTCCTGTCAACAGCAAGGCCTTTTGGGTGTGCCAGAAAGTCTGTCATAATGCTGACAAGGAATGAGTTTTGAAACTGAAGGAAGAAGGAACTGGTTTTAAATTGTTTTTGCTTTGAGATGTCTTTATTAGAACAGCTGAAAAAGTGTACTGTGTTTGGAGTAAAGTAGACACATGCCTTAAATATGTTTTTTGCAGTAAACAATTATTTTCTATTGAGTTGTTACTGAAACATTGTAAGGTACTGTACTGTGTTGAAGTAAGGGTAAAGGATTCAAATTGTGTTCTATCACTGTGAAGTATGCATCGAGACAATTACTTTAGGATGCAGAAATGAATAAGGAAACTGGAGATGCATTTAGATCTATTTCAGATAAAATACATATTTTGCTGATATTTGTATGAATCAATCTGTAAAAAATCTTGTTCAGTAACTGCACTCTGTATGAATTGCTGCTTATCTTTTTACTCTTTGTGTACCTCACAGTTCTAAAAGTATCTGCTATGTAAATTATCCTGACACAACCTGTCCGAGCTGATAAGGCAGTCTCCCTTTGCTTTAGTGCTAACCTATATTTTATAATGGCTGCCCATTGGTGATTAAGCCTTTTAGAGGGAATTCATCACCTTTGTTGCTCTTCATGCTTTGTGTAGCTTTTGTATTGTCAACAAAGGAACGCACACTGATGCTAACCATGTGGCTAACAAGATAAGCAAAGTTGATTTAATGAATCAGGTTTAATCATTGCATGTGATATTATTTAAATATTAACTTGGTTCTCTCCCTTGTACATACAGGTCCTGGAGACCTTGACGACACGTCAGATGGACATGCAGTTGTTCATTGCTGATGGCTGCAAAGAGGCCTTACTGGAGGAGAAAAGGCGCTTTTGTTTTCTAGTGGACAAACACTGCATGCTCTCCTACCAAACTGCTGCTTTTCATGACAAGGTGGATACAACCCTCCAATACACTTCAGAGTTTTTACCTATGTGTGCTAAATCTTCGTGTTTTCTAATGTTGTCAAAAGGCCAAGGATATTCTCAAATCAAAGATCAGCTCCTGGCAGGATCAGTGCAATGATGCGACGGACGTGCCAGACAGTGTGCTGACCATGATCGAATCTCTGCGTGCTCCAGTGTCCATCACGCCAATGCCCTCGCCCTCCCCCTCCCGCCACAGTGTGGTATGTCTCACTTTTCACATTCAAACCTACATGAGGGACATCTCTAAACATTCATTTTACTCTGTCAGAACATATCGGATCCACCTGCTCCCATGAAAAAGGCTCACACTAGTCCACTTGCAAATCTGTTTGAACAAGGAAGTCAGGAACCAGGTACATTTTCAGTTTTATTTTTTCACGTTCACTTGTTTAGTAATTTCAAAGAATGTGTTCCATTTGTTGTTAGTTTCAGATTATGGTAACGGTGATGATGCAGGCCTCTCCAGGTCTGTGTCTGTAGCCACCGGTCTGAACAATGTGGTGAAACGGCCTCGAGTCCGGACCATCTTCCCACACAGTGCCGGCAACAACAGCACCCTGATCAGCTTTGACGAGGGAGACGTTATAGTTCTGCTGATCCCTGAAGAGAGAGACGGATGGATGTACGGAGAGCTGGAGAAAAATGGAAAGTTAGTCAGACACGATCACACACCTGATCTTTAGCTTGTTGTTTGAGTTACAGGTCTTTTCACCACTTCAAACCTGCTGTCTGCTTAGGAACTCCTCTATAGGTCACTAGGTGATTTCTGTGGTTGGAACGGCATTGTCCTGGGAGCCAAATGGTCTCTAGTCTGATTGTTATGCAAGCCTTGTACATAAAGCATACAGCTATACTGATAAGGAAATCAAAGGAAAGTGCCTGAGGCTGCAGTGCAGGTTTCTGGAGTGAGGCACAGAGCACCACCTGCTCCACACTGCTCAGATTTGACTCTTTATTATCTTACTCATTATTATGGTGCAACACACTGCGCTCTCTGAAATATCTCCATTGTGGGACAAATAAACACTCTTATCTTATTTTGCTTTTAAGTTATTACTCTTGGTGCCAGTATAGTATGTTTAGGCATCTCAGGTGTTGTACATGAAAACATGTTTTAGTTTACAGAGTCTCATCCCAAAATATAAGGGCTTTTTCAGTTGTGTGAAAGTTGTGTTGTTAACCCTCGTTTTACATTTCATCTTTTTGTGACATTTAATTTATATTTTTGGGCATTTATGAAAATAGAAGACACACCACATAATAATAAAGACAAGACAAAAAAAATATTTTGATCACACCATTATGTCATTATTATGTCAAGTGTATTTTTGAACATGTGTAGGCAGAAACAAATGGCTCTATATTTCCCTTTAGACAAATCACATGTTGTAGAGCGTAGGTGCTTTGGAGACTTGAAACACATAACCCTAATCAGAATAGCCATTCTCTACAAAATCTAAAATAAAATTGTCGAATAGATTGATTGCAGATATGAGCAATAATCATTTAGTGAACTGCTTTACATCACCTGTGAATCTGTGTGTTTAGTCTGTGTAACTCTTTTGACTTCACTGGTCCGTGTATGTTCTGTGTTTCCTCAGGAGGGGCTGGTTCCCTTCGTCCTACTGCCGAGCACTCACAGAGCCTCTGGTGAACAACAACAGGTAAAGAAACGTGTCCAGTGTCCGGGGCTCACGTTTCACCCGACTGTATTGTTGGCAGGACTTCCTCCAGTTACTCCCGTTAGACTGATAACCTTTGTAATCCAGGGCAGGACTCTCCTCATCCCAAACCGCAGATTCCTATTGCCAGGTTTCGGATGACATCACAACACTCTATAGGCCAATAAAATTTAATGCCGATGGGGGCAGATATATTTAAAGGGGTTCCCAGCACCCCCCTGTTTCTATGGAGATGTCATTGCTCTACCTGGAATGTTCCACAGTATGACATTAAATAGCTTTACCTTACATTTATTCAGTTGCAGGTGGTGTTATAGCTCAAAAATACATAGAAAAACAGGCATTCTGACTGTGAGCGGGGTTGCCTCTCTGCAGATTTGACCTGTAACTTTGTCTGGTTTGGTCTTCATGAGAAAGAAAAGTTTACTACTACTATTAAAAACTCCAGACAAAGCAATAACATTCTCATGGAAAAAAGTATTTAACGGACCCTCCACCAGAAAAGTCACACAGTGCAATTTTTAATTCTGTTAAAATGCCGATTTTGTTGTAGGGTCTAGTCCAGGGGTTGGCAAACTACAGCTCGGGGGCCCTTTTAATCTTTTTAATTCAGCCTGCCGAATTTGAATAATGATAATAATAATGATAATTTCCAGTGTTTTAAAAGTAATTTCAAGAAATGGTAAATACCGTGGGACTTGAAAGACAGATATTTTGTTGTAATACTTTGTAATGATTTTCAATGATGGGATATTTCAATAACATGAGATATGTTTTCTACATATCCCAGGCTATTTTTTTCTCTTATGAGGTGGATTACCAAAACACTCAATCTGCTCCTGGACCGGCCCTTCTGTCAAATTTTAGAACCCTTTGTGACCTATGAGTCTAAAAGTTTGCCCACCTCTGGTCTGATCACTAATGGAAATGATCAAGTTTAACATTTCTAAAGTGACCTTTTCAGATGTTTTTATGATAATACAATGTAAATCAATAGGGAAAACTGGGAAAACTCTCTTGCTCCGCCCGTCTGGTAGTCTGACATCACCATGTCCTAATTAATGAAACAGTAATGTGTAATATTATGCCGGTGTTATATAAAATGTAAGGTGTTCAGACTGATGAGGGAGGTAATCACTTATGTCTTTCTTCTCTGTAGTGTCTCAGCAGCCCCATACCGAAGCAGAAGTGTTGTCAACCTTCATCATCAAGACACAGAGACAGATGAGGCGACCATGGTGCTGCCCCCAGCCGACTATTCTGCTGTGTCGTATCAAAACCTGGTCAAAAGTAGTATGACGTCATCTGTCTACACAGTCTCTAATGATCACCACCAGCCCTCACCCACGCCCTCTGCCGCCTCATCCTCCTCATCTGACCCCAATACGGTTAGTCCTTTACCTCATTTTGGTTTTGAGGGATTTTCAGTTTGATAGAATTTTAATCTGAAAGCAACTAGAAACAACTGAACTAAAGTACGTTATGGGTGCATTAACACTAGTCTGTTAGTCCTTTGATTGGTCCTGCTCGTAGTCCTTGTTTAGCTCTGGTCTTCTTAAGGCTTCGTTCTGGGTTTAGTCCCTGTGTGTGCGTGTGTGCGTGGGGGTGTGTTCCTGTCTTTTGCCAGTGTGGTGTGTATTCAGTGTGATCATGTTTGTCCTTCCTGGTCATTTGTCATGTGACTTCAGGGACAGGGCAGAGATGTGTCCCTGGGCTCCTGCTGTTAGTGAAGGCACTTGAGTGTAGATTGGCGGGTTGTATAAGTTTCAATGTCTTGGAAACTTGAGCCCTCTGTGATACAGTCTTGTGTCACCCCGACAAACCCAGTCATGGTACGTGTTTGAAAAATGACAGTTTTTTTGTTTACTCCGCACCTAGAACTTATTATGAGTTGATGAGTCATTCTTAAAGAGAACAGATTTTTTTAAAATTAAATAAAAAATTATTTCTGTGGATGGATATTTTGTCTAAGATACTGCCATTGGAATTACTGTAACTATGAGGCGTTATTTACATCATATGCAAAGAAGCAGCAAAACCTGTGGTTTTATATTTCAGATGTTTTAAATAAATGTAAATACTGAAAAACACTTTTTATGTTTGCTCCATCAGCGGTGCAGAAAACACTGGCTTCATTTTTATAGAAGTGGTGGGTTGTTGCTGGTATTTCTGTTTCTCTGCCACTGTGGGCTGTTTGTGTAATAACAGCCTTTATGTTTATGCATGGACCCATTAATGTAGGCATTAAAAGTGCAGTATGAATCACACCGATGTATGCTTTTGTTCTGTGCTTTAGCTCTATACACTAAATGTGGACTGACTTTTGATGATAACCTTAGGCCTGTATCTTTGGTGCTTCAGCACATTGTCATATTATAATCCACTGATGACAGACTTCAGCCATGTTAATACTGTGCTTTTAAAACTCTCTCAAATGGGGTTAAGGGTGGACTAGTACAGGAGTTTCAACATTTTACCACATTAGGGGTTAATGACAAGTACATTTTCTTTTAATGTATCCAAATATGCACAATACCAAATATATGGAAATGGCTTGGCAGGAAATGTCATTGACTCATACAAACTGAAGTTTGCAAGTTTGCCAGAAATTCCCAAGTAGAGTTCTATTTTAAGACTTGAGTTGGTTCCTCTTAAAAACTCAACATAATAATCACTTTTCCACATTCTCTTTATTTGATCACATATCTCCACATCACCACACCTCTTCATGCATACCTTTCATTTTCACCACACATTTCTGTATCAAGACCAAAGGTTGTTTCCACTTGATCTTAGCTTCCACTTTGTTTGCGATGACTCAAGAGTTTGTGTAGAAAAGCAAACAAATCTCAGAATAGAGCTGCCTGTGAGAAAAGGGCTGCTGGGCTTCCTTACTCTGGCTCGTGTTCAGCACAGTGGACAGCAGAGGGGGCGTGTGCCTGTGGATTTCTTTGGTAGTTGGCAACTTAAATCTGCATATTTATTTTCCAAAATTGTTTGAGTGTATGTAACTTTGGATAGATTTTACTCTGTGTACAAAGTGCACTGAAAAGAGAGACTGAACAGAGTTGCATTTCATTTTACTTTTGAGGAAGTGTGGCATTATTAAATAATGTGTGTGTGAAGCCATTTTCCGCCCCAGCAGGTTGGTCCAGAGAGCGAAAGGTGAGAGGTGGCAGATTGGGGAGGTGGGGTTACCCAGGAATGCACTGTTACTACAAGGAAAAAATGCTCCCTCTCTGGTTTGGCCTTTTGTGCTGAAGAAGAGGAAGAAGAGTGTTTCAGGGATGGGTTAAAGATATGAGTGTGGCTTAAGACACAACACCATCTTGTTTGACACTTTTGGCAAGCCACAAGCCTATTATATAGCAAATTACATAGCCGACTGATGACTTCATGGGGAAATACCAAACAGGAAGTGTAATAAATGAAGACTGTATCAATAAATAAATGTAACTAAGCTTCCCTGCCCTGATTTAACTACCACATGACAATTTTACAAAAATAAAGAAAGCACGTTCTCCTCTGGGACATAATGGTCAACAGAGACATTTTGGTGCATGCATTTCCATCTGCACTCACAGTTGCTATCAGTTATCGACATCTAGTGGTAGCTATCATAAATTACAGGTTGAAAAGCAAAGCTTGCCACTGCATGAATAGAAAAAAAAAACTTGACATCATGTCAAACATTGGGGTCTTTGTAACAAATGGAATCTGGATTTATAATAATTTTTAGATTTTTATTTTTTTTTAATGCCATATTCTATGTTGTGTTTTTTACAGCCAGCACAGCCAAATGGCACCTCCAGACCTGCACCTGCTCCTTATCTAGCGTAAGTTATCAGTGATTTTTTTCTAAGTACCCTTTTCCTGTCCATTTGTCCATTTATTGTGATTTGTATTTTCAGAGGAGGAAACCCTTTTGCCACAGTCCGGCTACGTCCCACTGTCACCAATGACCGCTCTGCACCAGTTATTTGATGAGGCTCCACTTTTGTGTCTCCCACTCGCTTGTTAATCCAAACTGCTGGAATCAGGCTTTGTGGTTCAGAAACATTTGGTCTGGATTAAACTGAACTTTTCCAGCACTGACTTGAAAAATGCCATTGGATTATAGGATATCCTTGTGACTGCAAACTCTCAAAACCATTTTATTATGATACCCTTATATTTAAGCTGTATTTTATATCTATGTTCAGTCTTTTGTTTGTGGTGGTGATGACGACATGGAAGTGACCACATTTGTACCTGCACTTGACAAGTTTAATAAATATGGTCATAAAATATTTGTGTTGCATTGCATAGAGAATGTTACAGATTGTTATTGTTGCCATAGGACAGTAGATTAATGTACTGTTGAACACTATATTTAGGCCCGAGCCCCGACAGGGCGTAGGGCCTATTGCTTCCGCTCAGCGGAGCGAATGGGGAGCGACGTGCGCATGTCCGAATGCGACAAGACGACATGCAACTATGTCCACGGTCGCCCCCGGCACGAACAGCAGTATCCCAGTAACCCACGCCCAAGGCCTGGCTCATATTTACTACTGCTAAAATGAATGGAAGTCAATGGAAGGCGATGGGTGACCTCGACGAGATGGCGAATGACGAGCGCCTCAGTGCCCGTCACTCACCAATGACCCCACGGTGACGTGGGGAAGGTCGAGAGCTTTCAAAAAACGTATAATATGTTGTTCTAAAGTTTTCGGATATATTGTTTTTGCTCGAATTATTATTATTATTATTATTTTATTATTATTATTCTTCTGCTCTTTGAGCTCTAATTTGACCCTCTAAACACGTTCAAAAACTCACCAAACTTGGCACACTATTCAGAAGTGGCGAAAAATTCGATAAAATATAGGTTTCGTGCACGGGCATAAAAAAATGGCGACACAGCGCCACCTGGAAAACTCAAAATTTTGGCGTCTATGGGAGATGTCCCGGTCAACTTTGTCGTAGAGCCACGAAATTCGGTACACACATTCATCATGTCAAGACAAACAAAAAATATTATTATGGCCACGCCCCCTGACACACCAGAAGGCGGCCATCTTGGATTGAAATTTGAGTCCGCGTTTTCGCTGACGTTGCGTTTGAACGAACTCCTCTGAAGACGCTTCACCCACAGGGCTGAAAATCACCGTACATCATCTAGACAAGTGGAACATCTAAAGTTAGCTGATTTTTTTTGATAACTGTCACGGTTTACGTGCGACGAAGCCGCAAATTTCGGTAAAAATTTTGCCGAATTTCAAGGTGACATTATTTGTTCCTGTTCGCACAGACTTAGTCCGATCGTGTTGAAATTTGAATCACTAATGTGTGATCTCAGTCTGAATATAATACACTATAAAACATATGAAAAGTGAACACTATAGCGCCCCCTACCATAGACATGAAACGTCAACATAGTCAGATCTGCACCAAATTTGGGAATTAAATTCTATGCATGATTATGAGCAAAAAATTATATTATGGACATGATACCATTTTCACTGTTGGCCAGCAGGGGCGCAAAGACTCAAAAATTTCCCTCCTATGGGATACGTCCCGGTCAACTTTGTCATAGAGCCATGAAATTCGCTACATACATTTGTCATGTCAAGACAAACAAAAAATTTAATTATGGCCACGCCCCCTGACAAACCAGAAGGCGGCCATCTTGGATTGAAGATTCAGTCCGCATTTTCGTTCACATTGCGTTTGAACGAACTCCTCTGAAGGCGCTTCACCCACAGGGCTGAAAATCACCGTACATCATCTAGACAAGTGGAACATCTAAAGTTAGCTGATTTTTTTTGATAACTGTCACGGTTTACGTGCGGCGAAGCTGCAAAATTTGGTCAAAGTTTTGGCGAATTTCAAGGTGACATTATTTGCTCCTGTTCGCACAGACTTAGTCCGATCGTGTTGAAATTTGAATCACTAATGTGTGATCTCAGTCTGAATATAATACACTATAAAACATATGAAAAAACACTATAGCGCCCCCTACCATAGACATGAAACATCAACATTGTCGGATTTGCACCAAATTTGGGAATTAAATTCTATTAATGACTAGAAGAAAAAATATATATTGCTGACATGGGAATTTGTTCAAGGTTGGCCAGTAGGGGGTGCAAAGAACATCTAAAGGTGCACTATGTCATTTTGCCATTTGCAGGCACAGAGTTTGCGGACACGGCGTTTACGGTATGGTGTTGGCGGGGCACACTATTTGCGGGCACGGCGTTCGCAGGCGCGGCGTTCGCGGGCGCGGCAGGCGAGGGCCGTTCGACGCCGCTTGCGGCTTTAATTTATATTTAAGTCCCTTGATTATGTCATAACCGTCTACTGCACAATGAACTGCATTTTATTCAATGTGATGCACAGAGGCACAGAGGGTGATCTCCATCCCTAAGTGTCTTATACTTGTATGACAAAAGCTTGGTTTTTGCCATCAAAGATTTTTTTGGAGATTGTTATCACTTTGCCTTAAAAACAGTCAACTCCTAAATATTTCCTGTATATTTAAATATGATTGTGGACAAATATAGTGCAATTACTTTAACTTTAATTATTACACATTGTGTTTTATTACCAGGACATGCACCTTTCGGGTCCAAGCCCAATATTGCATATAAAAATAAAGATTTATTTCTGCATTGTCTCCTCCACTTTGTATATATGTATGAAATTATGATGTAACTGGTGGAAATTCACTTTCACACAACTACTGTTTTATTCTAAAATAGGACCAACATAATTTGAGCAGCAATCTTTAATTACAGTGAGTTGTATATAAAAGAATTTTGAACAGCATGTGCAGTGCTCTAAGTTACAATTCTTGCCCTCATTTCTAGACAGCTTCATAATATTTAATAATGATGGAAGACATTAACTACAGAAAAAAAATGCAAACACAGGGACAGACTCAGTTGATTGTCTGATCAGAAAAAAGTTCACATAATTCACGTGCAGTGATTCTCCTCCACGCCTCAGATGAGGAGGCTGCTTTTAGAAATGAAGTTCTTCAGAAAAAGTCCAACAGTGATTGGCTGTAGAAGTTGAGAGCTTGTCAGATTGTATGTTCCTGAGGTCTGCATTGGCCCTGGAAAAGCACAATCTAGCAGATTATTTGTCAAATGATCAGTGCAAATATGGCCCCCTAGAACAATAAAAATATACAAATATTTACACATAAATGGTATTCCTGTAAATCCTATCATTTAGGAAAGTTCCTATACAAAGATAATCTTCTGCTATATGACTAATATTTGTGTTAGCCTTCTGAAAATAATCCAATGGCAAAATGTATGCAATTAAGACAAAACTCCATACAATAAAGACAGCACAAACGGAAATCAACATTTACCAAAATATTAGGTATATGATATACAACAAGTGCAATCTGTTCATCCTAAACTCAACTAAACCTACAAACCAACTGGCAACAAGTGGAATTTCTGATAATCTGCATGATATGAAGGCACTAACATTGGCTATTGCTAGATATAATCTCTAGCAAATGATGATACCATAACATGCTCAAAAATTTTATAATTCAATATAGTATGTTGTAAATAACAATGGCAGCTAAGTACAGAGATTACAAAATGAAGACACGTATAACTGTGTGGATTGAAACATGAGCAAAAGCGTGTTAGAAATTATTTGGTCCTTCTAACCAAAAGTGGCCCCACAGTTGGGGCACCTTCTCTGGCGCAGTGCAAAACAGAACAGGATGCCCAGGGGAAAGAAGAAGATGGCGCACAGGATGCCCAGGCATGTGAAGTCATCTTCCAGTACGCCCACTCTGCAACAAACATGGACAGGTCATCAGCACTATTACACTCACTGCAATCAGACTCTCTAAAAGCTAAACTCTTCCTAGTCAAAGGGGGAAAATATATATACACATGTAAAAAGAATTTACATGAGGCCTAAGACTCAGTTTGAGGCTATTACAGCAGCTTTAATTCTTACTGTGAATAAGCACAAAACATGGTCCCATGACTACAACAAGCTACAAAATCAGCTGGAGGCATTTGGAAGTGTGTCCCTTTGTAACCAATTGTAACTTGAGGACTGAAGAGTGTGGAAAACCATTGGTTTCACTGTTTAGAAATAAGATTACAAATTATCAGGGCTGATAGGCAAGTATTGTAGTATTAGACACACACAAAGAAGTAATGTATGTATGTATGTATGTATGTAACAGGTTTGGGATATAAATGGTTTAACTGTTGTTTATAGAATCCTAAAAAGGCAAATAACTTCCTCCTGAAAGAGTGTGAATAATGCAGTAATATGTTAGCATTTGATGACTCCTGACTCTTTGCATACTAGTGACTTATACAACCTTCTTTGTACTCTAGGCTAAAGACTCTCCCTTATGTTTTTTAGTGATCAAGTTTATCATGTAACTTTTTAGAAAAAAAAAATTGTAAAGAAAATCTCTTTCATTTTGAATGTTTTCAAAGTACTAAAAACATGTGTCCTTACTCTGAGCAGGCTTGCATCTCCACAAACCTGAATTGGTCTTAATGGGCCTACACCTGCTTGAAATGCTGTTCCTTTAGCTATAATACAACACAGCATGGCATAAAACGTAAATATCTTCATGGAGAAAATATGTTTTTAACTTTCTATTTCCATGGTATCAAGTAGGTGACGTGCCACCTCCAAAAAGGTATGCGGTGTTACTAAGATCTCTGGATGTCCATATTTAGAATGCCATCATACTGGTATGGCTTCTTTTGAAACAAAAACTTGGACTATATTTTCTCTCATACAAAGATGAAAACTATAATTTTGTTAAACCAGTTTAAATTCTTCTAAGATAACATATACAAATAATTCTATACAGCTTACATTTTGCCTAAATAAGAACAAAGTCAACAACATCAACTTTATGACCTATTGCTACCCTCTCGTCACATGTCTACAGATAACATCAGCTGACAGAAAGTTGACTCAACTTTTTAATACTGTGAAAGTCCATTTTAAACAAAATTGTACTTTAAATCACAGTAGCCCATTTTTTCCTTGGTGAACCAAAATGAACATACAAAGGGCCAAACACAATTATATAGCAATGAGATTGTCTGATAAATATAACTGAAATTTATTTAAAAAGTTAACTGAACTTTAAGATGTTTGGTATAACTGTAGGTAAACACTATTTAGTGCTCTATTGTATCAAAGTGGAGACTAGGGGTCATGTTAAAGTGAACATAAGTCAAATTGTAGCGCTAGTTTTAAGTCAACCCTATCTCTGAAAAACAGTAACAACAGTAACAGTATCATATGACAAAATGACACAACCTAATATGAAGGTGTGTGTGTGTGTTCACCTGCAGGCCGGACAGCCGCCTACCACCACCACAGAGGGCTGAATAATGGCGTACGTTCCGGTGTAGGGCTGCTGAGACACAGCAGGGGCCGCCTGGGCCGAGGGGTATCCTGAAATAATTTTTTAAAAAAGTAATTAGAATACATTTTATTTAAGCTACTTCTCACGTATATAGCCTATATCATATGTCTATAACCCTTAATTCCTCAAAAAAAATAAATAAATAAATAAATAAATAATAATAAAATAATAATAATAATGAATATACTTTTTTCATCATGGTGAAAGGCCACCTATAGGCCTAAAAACCTTCAGAAAAGAATATGCTGTTCAAATACAAGCTGTAATTCTAAAACTTAAAAATATTTAATTGTGGATCATGTGACTGTGAACCTTGAACCCTTTATCTGTAAATGTTTGGCCATGACACATGTACTGATAAACAATAAGGGACATAGTTCTCACATGATGTTGGCTACAGAAAGTGTAAACTAACTGCAGTCCACATAGGGCAGACCACATTTACAGGAAAACCCGCAGAACTTCCGTGATACAAACATGTGTATCTCTAAGGAGTGACAAGACAACAAACCAAAACAGCCAAAGACTGCCAAAGGTCACTACCCCATGTCACATAAAGTAGCCAGTGGCCTACACAATCTGACAATAGACTACATTTTGGTCACGGACACGTGGGCACGTTTAAAGATGGACTGGAAACACGGTAGTTTGTCTAAACGAAAGTGAGATCTGTCTGAACTTGTACCGCAGACTCAGCAGACGGTACAAGCAGATCACGAGAGCTCCAGTAGGTCACTTGCCTTGGCTCCCCTCGGGGTACTGGTACGGTGGAGGGATGGCGGCAGGAATGGCCCCGTAGCTCTGCTGTGGCGGTGGGCCATACTCGTAGACCCCTGGGACAGCGTTATAGGCGGGGGGTCTGTCCTGGAGCAGAGGTTTACTGTCCACCATCTCAGCTGCGCGATGTAATGCCTCAAGTTGTCCCTTAATCCAAACAGCACTTAACTAGAGATATTAACGAACTGACTAGAACACGATGTGAAATTTGGTCTTTGATGCAACAAGTAACACAGAGACGACAGGAACAAACAACAAACGCAACGAAAATGGAAAACTTCGTCTCTTTCCATGCGCCAACTTTGTCTGTTGCTGCGACGGAAAGAAAAGAACAATCTTCTTCAAATGTTCACTTTCAAGGCCGGAATGCAGTTAGTGAGTATGGTAATAGTTAACTTAGCTCCATTTCGCTCCCCACAGTTGGTCCTTTGGCATTAGAAACACAATTTAGATGCATCACGACGCCCAGAAACTACGCTGAACTCTGGCTTTTCCTTTCTGTCTGGCTTGTCACAAGAGAAGAATCATGTGACGCTCTGCTGTTGCGCCTCTGCGCAACTAAATGCCTCTTAAAGCGACAGTCCACGGGAACAGAGCTGTGCAGCTGCTCTATGCAGCACAGGTTACTGCAGACACGTGGATGTAGCGTAAAGAATACAACATACCGTGTGTGGAGCGAATGTAGGAGCATAGGCTGTACACGCAGAAACAGTAGAGAGGCTGGATTAGTTTCACACAGACCTATTGAAGGGCCTTGTGTGTGCCAGTGCTCCACTTATTTATAGCTTACATAAGCCTTCTCGTTTCATAATAACAGTTCTGGTCTACATTATTCCCTGATAATTAAACTTAAGAACAGTCGAATATTTTAATCTTTCTGAATTAGGCAATTGCCCTATTATTTTAGGTCGCCTACACATGGAAACTTTATTATTTCTCTTTATGTCTTGTGGTAATAGTAGTAGTAGGCTGGTGGCAGTAGTATTAGGGGTGGTGGGCCTACGCCTCCTGCAAACTGTCAGTAAAAAGAGGTGTTGCGCAGGTAAAGCGCGTGCACTATCCAGGGTGCTGAATGCCGTATGAATCGTTGTTGTAGACAACCTGCTGATTGAAAAGCCCAAACTGTAACTGAACAGGTGAAGACAATCTTGCATTTCAATAATTCATCTGATACTGAATAAATTATTGAAATATGCGCGTCAATCAGCGGAGTCGAACGGAAAATTATTCCGGGTGTCCAGGGTTGGACCAATGGGATCAGTGCGTCCCACGCTCCTTGTTGCATTTGGACCAATCAGAGAGACACTTCCACCATTTCCTGTTGTGGAGTCGGAGTTAAACCGAGCATTCCTCTGCTTCAGAGTTAACATCATTGTGGCAATGTCTCAATTCTGCACTTTTTTCCCTAGAGGATTATATTCTCGTAAGTGAGAAGGAATCTCATGTAAGTCATTTATTATGCTGCTCTGTTTCTCTTCAATAGTCATTTCTCTAGTGATGTAAACAGCTTAAAGCTGTCTGTATTTATGCTAGCTCAAGTCAGTCAATACACGTTTTGATGGGTTGTCTGTGTGTTTGTGTGTTTTTAATAGGATGTCTTGGCATGGTTCTCAAAGGTAATGCACGTAGCTGCTGCACCTGTATCATGTCGCGTCTGCTTCTCCCTTGACAACCGCGGCTCGGATATCCTCAGCCAGGTACACCGCATTTTACTTTAACCTGCTCTGTTTATCAGCGCTTAGGCTTCTTCAGCTGTGTATTACAGCAAAGATAAAGTCGGACAAAATTAAAATTGCTTACGGGTGTGAACAAAACCTAGCTACTACAACCCAGGCCTACTGCTTTACTTGGTTTGGCCACAGTCATTTTTCAGGTCAAAAAAAGACTGTGGTCTTGAGATCAATAGTGAAGCTTCTTTGGGACTGTAGAGGATTAGTACAGTATCAGTATCAGGTGCCTAGTGGAAATCTAACAACAGGACGGAATACTACTTCCGGTCAATTTCAAGTTAAAAGCAGCAGAGGCTCATCGTGCAGGATACGAAGCTCTTGTGACACTGCTGTTAATGTATTTGATACTGGAGCACACGTGGTAGGTCTAAATTAACTGTTAGAGGTTTTAATGCAGCAAATGCACTTTTGATCCAATTGCAATATTTTTTTTCAAACCAAATCAAAGGACAACATGGTAATGTTTGCACCTGCATGAGTGTATTATCTATGTTGATTGAATAATATACAATGAAATAGTCAAATAGTGGTGAATAGGTTATGAGAAAAGTTTTTTTTATCCAGGGGTCACCATGCCTATCACTCTGCTCTGGGCGGTGGATGTGTACGGCAGGGTGTACAGCCTGTCCACAGCCAGTGAGCGCTGGGAGCGAGCTGATGACATGCTGCTGGAGCTGAAGAGAGTGTCTGCAGGAAAAGGCCGATGTTGGGGCATAGGATGTGACCACCATGTTTACCTCAATATAATGCCCAGCGAAACTCCCATTCGCTACAGAGAGGAGACATACGAAAACCAGGTTTAGAAAATCACCATCACGCACGCATAAACTGTGTATTAATATCAAAACGCCTGATACCCCTGTCTTTTAGAGGTGGAACCCTGTGGATGGCTTCACTGATGTGCTGTTGCCAACTGACCGCTGGCCTTGGAGTGATGTAACAGGCTTGAACCAGCAACCTCTTCACAGCTTCCAGCTTCCGTCCCGTAGCTGGGAATGGGAGGGGGACTGGTATGTGGATCAGAGCTGCAGTGGAGAACCCAGTGAAACAGGGGTAAGAACAATACAGTAATATGCATTTAATTGCAAAGTATATTCCTAACACATCAATAACATAATCACACATCGTTCCATGTAGGGATGGGAGTATGCTGTGGACTTTCCAGCCAACTTTTCCCCTGATAAGAAATGGAATTCGTGTGTCCGCCGTAGGCGCTGGATACGTTACAGAAGATACATTGCACCAGGGAGCTGGGCAAAGGTTTGTCTGTTCTTGCAATGGCACTTCGTCATAAAGCAACAATATGACAATAAATGAAAACTATATGTTTTGTAGATTCCTTTGGAAAACCCTAGAAAAAACCCACTGCCACTGTGTGACATCAGCTGTGGCGGCTGGGAGATGAGTGACCAGTCTGGGAGATACCCATACCTCTGGGGAGTGTCACAGCAGGGCCAGGTCAGTCCTAATACTAAAATCAGACTGTGTCCTGTTTATAATTGCAAAATAATCAATAATATAATTGCTCAATCACCAGTACTGTTTCACCACACGGGGGTGCTATTGCTCCATGTAAAATCTCTAAACAACCTTGGTGGACTTTTTGTAAACAGTTTGCATGACAAAATAAGAATACCTGTTATATGAATCTTTTTTTTCAATCCACTGCTCAGGTGTGGTTCAGGGAGGGCATTCACCCTCGGGTCCCAGAGGGCACCAGCTGGGAGGAGGTGGAGGTCCCAAAGGAGGTGGCTCAGTTATCCGCTGGCCCTGGAGACCTGCTCTGGGCTGTGCTCTGGGATGGGAACCTCTTGGTCCGGATTGGCCTCAGCCTGGATAGTCCAACTGGTTTGTTTATCTATTAACTGTATTATTTTCTTTACTGACAATATTTTCATCTTTGTCCCTTTTATATGTGTATAAGAAAGATCACAACATTTGCTACTGGTAATTATGAAGATAATGGTTGTGAACTGTTATGTAAAAATATTTGCAGGCATATCATGGACTGAAGTTGAATCACCAGTAAAAGAAGTAGAGGTCTTGCATGTTTCTGTGGGAGTCAGTGTGGTGTGGGTGGTCACCAAAGACTATAAGGTAAACTGGTAGTGATTGCTTGGTTACTGCTGTGTTTTGATAGCCAAAGTAATGATACTTTTCTGTTCATGTGCAGGTGTGGTTCAGACGAGGGGTGAACTCCCACAATCCTTGTGGTTCGGGCTGGATCAGTATTGGAGGAGAAATGATGATGGTTGATGTTGGTCTCAATGACCAGGTATAGTTTTTCTGCCATACTTTTTACTTTTTACCATTATGTTTATGAACATGTTTATAGTGAATGTCTATTTACCTGTCAGCCACTATGTAAACTGTAAACTACAAAAATCAACAATATAATCACAATTGTATTGGTCAAAACCATCTAAGCATTTCTCTTTTATTAGATGCTTGTTTAAACCTTGGCTTATGCAGTCTTCTCTCCGTGTGTAATTTCAAGTTGAGCTTGAAGCCAGGGTCAATGGGACTCTCTGTATCTCTCTCTCTCACTGCCTTGGACTTTGCTAGCACTGCACTGGCTCAGCTGACACCTCCTCCTGTGCACCTCACCCTCTTCAGTCCCTCCTGCCCCAGAGCCCTGTAACCTGACCACTACTGCGTTCCAGCCAATGTCCCGGCAGTCGCATCTCGGACCCCAGCCTTATATATCCCAGAGTGTATTCCTACTGGCCTGACATATGGGACACTCCCTAATTAGAAGCTGGCCAAGCCATCATCTTCATGTCCCATATTTCATATTTCAGGGCCTGTGGTTATGGAAAGGGCTTGTGGGAAGTGGCAGGTGTCACTGTTACAGTATATGACCTTATAAAGTAACAGTTGCTTCTGTCCTGCTGCTATGGGGATAGTGATCAGAAACATGTTCATTGTATAAGATAATGGTGAACATGCTGATCTGAAGTTTTATTTCCCTTTTTTAATCTTTTGGCAGGTGTGGGCTGTGGGTGAGGACAGAGGTCTGTATTTTAGGATGGGTGTGACTCCATTTGAACCTAGTGGAAATGGCTGGATCCCAATTTCAGCCCAATGGGGAAGTAAAAAAGAAGCTGGTCCACAAAGGTTGGTGCTCATTGATTTTTTTTTTTGTTTGTTCCCAGAATACAGAGCCCATAAAAGCATCACCATAAAATTCCCTGAAATATTGTCTTACATCTGACCTGCTCCTACAGCTGGAGTAGTGACCAGAGCATCACACTCACTGCCATTTAAATCTGCATTCCTGCTTTCAAGGTTTTTACAGAAATAGCATGACTTTGCCTGACAACTGAGAATGCAACTTGTTAACAGATTCTAATATAGTTTTACAGCTGCACACCATATGCATTCCCCTGTCTTTAAGACTGAAATGATTACGCTTGCGGCCAGTAATAAGTTGCTGGCTACACAAATATACAGATACACTGTTAAGCTTTACAATTTAAACCCTTTCTGGTTAAAAATATCTAGCATATTTAAGTGTTAATCAAAAAAGTACTATGTAGTAGTATTCAGTAGTAGTAGTAGTAGTAACAGTAGTAGTAGTAATAGTAGTAGGGACTCCTCAAGTTTTAGTGCTACTATAATTGTGAGAAAAAACACCACATATTTATGGTTATTGACATTACTGACACCATGAACAAACAACTGTGAAATCCTTTGCTTTCATTAACATTGTCTAATAGATGACCTGTATGTGACCGGCTTTATAAAACAAATTTTCTGAATGATTAAGTAAATGTGACATAAACAACCAGGAAAAAAGTATTATGCAGTTACTTTTCAGTTAAAATTAATTATTTTTGCTTCTAAAATTCTCACAATATATATATATAATTTTTTAGTTTTTTATGATTATACTGTGACCTAAATTATCATGATTATCAATTCACCAAACAAACATTTTTAAGTTGCTGGCAAGCTACAGTTTGTTCAGTGGAAAATAAAGTTTGTAATAATTTTTCTGTTTTTACAATAGAGATGATCAGCTGACCGAGGCGTCCCAGGGCTCTGTTTTGAGTTGCACAGACTCGGACTCAGAGCTGGGTCCAGTAGAAGCACAGAGCAGCACTGTTGACACACCGGTCCTGGAGCCAGCTGCCCCCTCTGTAGTGCCTTTGGGAGGGGAGTCCACAACTGAAGATGTCCCTCAAAATGCCCCTAGACCCTTTATCCCTGCCAGTGACAGCTTTATCAACAGCCTAGTCTCTGATCGTGACAAAACCTCTGCATCTCAACCCTCTATTTTAGAAGTTCCTCAAGAGGACAGTGCTGACCCCTCCCCTGCCCCTATACTCCTCACTCCAGATGATGTGTCGCGTGACCTGCCCTGGAGCAATGTGGACCTGGAGGGGGCAGAAGCCGCACGTAGTGCCCAGGCCGCAGGTACCGCTTTGGTGGACAGTAGCACAGGTGTTCTGGCCTTGGAGAATCCCCAAAGAGTAGGAGAAGAAGATGGACCAGTGTGGGCTTGGATCTCCGGTGGGGGCTGTGAAGTGGAGGCAGAGTCTAAAGTCAGCTGGCTGAGTCCAACAGGTAAACATCAGGGACAAGCTAAATGTACGGTATGACAAAATACAGGTTTCTTACAGAATAAGGAGGAATAAACAGATATGCATCAATGAACATAATACCCAAAGCCCTTACCACACTACATGTGTGTAGCAATTTTGCAAAGGTAAATTTCTCACTGACTGATCCACAAAATATTTGTATTCCACTTGAAGTAATCAGTAAGTTTGGAAATTGTTAGTGTTAGTGTTATTGTTAGTGTGTAGATGCTGTTTAGTAGAATCGTTTCACACATTGGGAACAAAAACTGAAGATAAGTAGGTGACACCAGCTGGCTGAGTTACAGGCCAGATGTTTTTCAGGGTATTTGAATACCAGAAACACCTGTACTTGGCCAAATGCACAATGGATTGATTGCCATACTGTGTTATGTACCAGGCAGAACAAGCCTGTGACAAGCCAGTGGCAAGGTCTGCACCAGAAAAGTTACATAGTATCCCTTTAATATTCTTGTTGTAATTTCCCACAGGTGTCCTCACAAGCTCCATGTCACTCACTCCTGTGCAGTCCGCTGCCTGGAGCGCAGAGCACGAACACAGAGACACCACCAGCAGAAAGCCCCTGGAGAGAAGCAATGTAAGATTCACACAAGATGTCCTTGGATCTACTGTGGCAACTATCATTTACTATTGTCACTGTCTCCACATCAGTCCATATGGGTGCGTAAAGGTACTCTGCGTTGGTGGAGGGACTGGAAGCCTCAGCGCTGGGTGGACGTGAGTGTCGCTTTGGAGCAATCCACCAAGTCTGATGGAAAAAAAGACAGTATTTTCTTTGTCTACTACACACAGTATGATGAGAAGAAGGTTGGTACTGCTGAATATAACCAAAACTATTTTAATGTACCAAAAACTATTTGAAATATCTTACATGCATTCTTTTGTGTATGTTTATCTGTGTTTTAGTACCTTCAAGTCTTCATAAATGAAATCACAGCATTGGTACCGGTCATCAGAGACTGCTACTATGCCTTTGCGGTGTACACTGCCCAAAGAACCAAGCAGAGGTGGCCCTTGGTTCTCGCTGCACAAACTGAAAAGGACCTGAATGACTGGGTAATATAAGAATGACTTGACATGAGCTCATTACACTGTCTCGTACAGAATATACATTAATTCACTTTTGTAAATTTAGTTGACCCTGTTGTCTGACTGTTGTTGTGAATGTCGAGGGATCAGTGGTCCACCATCCAGACATGCCCTTTGGTCCACCACCTCAAAAGGAGACATTATGGTTCATGAGCCTTCATTCACACTAGAATCCCCTGCAACTGCACTCTCCTGTGATCTCATGTAAGATTTATTGGTAACAATTAATTATAACTACACCTACGTGGCCTTAATAAAGCACAAAGAAAGACTTAAGGTGACTTAATTTATACCCTAATTCCTAACCCCGTTATTAAGTCTCAATCATCCAAACTATTAGCAAACTATTTGTTCATGATTAATTAGGTCTATCTCTGTGCTTTATTAAGACTAATTAAAGTGTAGTTGTTATAAAGTGTAACCAACTTCTTTCTTCTGAGTGGATTTTTCTTCTTGCATAAACTAACCAAAGCTAACATGCTAACACAACTAATACCAGTGACTACACATGTGATGATGCGAATGCTGCTTGTCTTTTGCTTGTCCTGTGGTGCTGCAGGTTCTGGCAACAGGTCCCAGGACACCTGCGCTGTGTAGAGTCTAACAGTCTGGGGCTGGTGTGGGGCATCGGGTGGGACGGCACGGCCTGGGTCTACAGTTTGCAGGGTAAACTCAAGCATCAGTATGTTTCCCATGGGACCCCATTCAGCTCGCTGCTATAACACCGCCAATGTGCAATGAACTAATCAACAGATATTAACTTTGGGGTGGGATGTTTACAGGTTGGGCTTAGCGTTAAATGATTAAGGGATAGCAGATGCTAGTTCTGTTCCTGCCAGAAAATGTTACATTGTGCACCTTTAGGTGGAGAGTCTGCCATCTGCTTGTCTCCATGGAGATGTTATTAATTGAGTGGAAATATTCTGCAGTATGCCAATAACCTTGCCTAGTAAGACGCAATAAAAAAACACCTGTAGTTGAAAAGTTTAATACCATCTCTCTGGAGACCAGACAAGCAGCTGACGGACTCCACAACATAAAAGTTACATAATGCACCATTAAACTCACAAATGTACACAATCTTTATGACCTCTATGCTTTTAGGAGATTCAGCTGAGATGCATCAGCAAACCGATGTCAGAAATGTGTATGTGTACGAAAATCAAAGATGGAACCCCATGACAGGATACACAGACAAGTACATGTCTATATTTACATTTTACATTTCTTTTACTATGTGAGTTATAATAACAGCTCATATTGTTCTTTTTTAGGGGACTTCCTACAGATCGCCCGATGTGGAGCGATGAGAGTGGCCTTAAGGAATGTACCAAAAGCACAACACATCCTCCATCGCCTCAGTGGTCCTGGGTAAGAACAACAAAATGTGTGCATCAAAAAATACCTCCTCTTGTATTAAAAGTAAATCTCTTTTCACTCTGTTATTAGGTTTCAGAATGGGCTGTGGACTACAATATCCCTGGTGGAACAGACAAAGAAGGGTGGCAATATGCAGCAGACTTCCCCGTGTATGTCCCTAAATTAGCACTTTAGAAAAGTAATGAATACACAACTTATCATTTTATTTATTATAGGACATTCCACGGGCACAAAACTATTAAAGACTTTGTCAGGAGACGACGATGGATAAGGTACCTACTGCTCTCCTCAGATTGTATTTACATATTCTGGACTTGCCTGTTTGAGATGCTTTGATTACAGAAAGTGTAAGATCACCCTGCGGGCGCCATGGAAACAGGTCCCACCCATCCCTCTGAGTGACATGTCCCTGATGCCCTGTCTAGCTCAGAGCAGGATGGAGCATGTGCCGGTGTGGGCCATCAGTGAGAAGGGGGATGTCCTGTGTCGACTGGGAGTGAGCCCTCAAAATCCTGCTGTAAAAACACTGTTTATTTGTTTGAGAACCACTAAACTAGCCGAACAAATGTGTTAGGATACTGTAAACATTTTGTCTCTTCTCCACAGGGAAGTTCTTGGCTGCATGTGGGCACAGATCAGCCATTTAAGTCTGTTTCTATTGGTGGAGCCAATCAGGTGTGGGCTATAGCCAAGGATGGGTCTGTTTTTTACAGAGGATCAGTATCACCTCAGAACCCTGCTGGTCAGATTACAATTATAAATTGCGTCTTTGTTAAGTGTCTTTGTAACCACTCACTCAACAATATCGCTGCACCCCCTACAGGAGAATGTTGGTATCACATCCCATCCCCTCCTCGACAAACTCTTAAACAACTTTCAGTGGGGCGCACATCAGTGTTTGCTGTGGATGAAAACAGTAAGGAGTTACTCATTCAGTGAAATTTCCAACACATGACACTTAAAATGTAATTTTTTTATTTTACATAGGTAACCTGTGGTACAGACAGGGCCTGACCCCAAGTTACCCTCAGGGTTCAGCCTGGGAGCTCATCTCCAGCAATGTCACTAAAGTCTCTGTGGGCCCTCTGGACCAGGTCAGTCAGAGTTTAGTTTAGATGATGGTGTCCAGCAGGGGCTTTATTCACATTACAGCTGTTGAATGTTTTCCCTCAGGTGTGGACCATAGCAGAGGGGGTGCCAGGATTTCCTATGGAGTCCCCTGGGGCCATATGCCACAGAGTCGGAGTAGGACCAATGCAGCCAAAAGGACATTCTTGGGACTTTGGTATTGGGGTATGTCACACCCTCTGTTTTTAGTTCTAGCTTCTCTGAGAGGGCGGTCAAAGCCTGGATAGTGGAAATAGACCTAACGTTAACCCTTTAATGCAAAGTGTCACAAATATGCAACAAACACAAGATATAAGCCGAGATAGCAGCTGCATTGCCCCAATGCTGGTTAGTGCATGTGCAGAACCTTCCTAGGAACCTTTGGTAAACACTTGTTTCTAGTTGTCACAAATTTGCAACATACCCAAATTTCTATTTATAAATTTTTTTGCTATAGTAAAATAATATAATCATCTCAACTTGATTTACCATCTACTTAAAGGCAAAAACACACACAACTTTCTTTTTTTTTTGATATACTTGTAAATAAATTGAGGCGTTAAGGGGCTTTAAGATAGTGTTGATTACATCTGAGTGTGTTTTCCTTCAGGGTGGATGGGAGCACATCACTGTACGGGGAAATTCAGCAGAAGCCCCTCGGACACACCCCCCTCCCTCTGGCCCTCCACGAAGCCCTGTTCCACAGCGCCTCCCAAGTCTGGAGAATGGCAGTGCTGTGGGCGTGTAAGCACCTGTATCGTCCCCCCCAGGTTTTATGAAGGGAATGGACCAAGATTAAACTGAGACTGTTGGATTTAGCTCTGTCGATGAATGAATGTTGAAACTGTTTCCAAAGGCAGAAATGAAGCAAATGTGCAGCACAAAAGTGGACAGAGTGGAATGCATGTGCTCGCTCTCAAGGCCTCAGCTATAGGCTCTATTCACGCTCACATGACAAACCAGGAAAACGTCTGGAAAGATGCAATTACAACTTCCAGCAGGCTCTGTTCACTGTTAGAAGAGATGAGGGTGCAAAATTAAAGATTATTCCAAACACCACATACGTATGCAGTCTTCATTTTATTGGTAACTACACTGGAAGTTATAATCCCATCTTTCCAAACATCTCCTTGGTTTGTGACTTAATTGTGAATAGAGACTTTTGGGTGTTATTGGATTTAGCAATATTTTAGATTTCTTTATTTAAAATTCTGTGAACAGTGTAAAAAGGGCTAAGGCTTTGGAATCACAAAAACCCAGTTAAACATGTTCATCTTGCACTATAGTTTTTGGTGTTGTGTTATTTGCCTGTTTAATTGCATGTGACCAGTGTATTTCAGCATTATTTATTTTATTTATGTACATGTATTTGTTTGGGTTTGTTCCTCCTTGTGTCTTGCCTGTCTCTATTATAAATAAAATAAATCTTCTTGTGAGGCAATTTGTAACAAACTTTCAATATAACAAAATTAAATTTGTCAAAAATATCACAAAGATTACCTTAAGCAATAAGAAAAGCTCCTATGAATAAATTGTGTTTTCTGCAAAGACTGTTGATCCTCTACAGCCAGCCTGTCACTGCTACTGACATTCATTTTACAAGGGCATTGAAATGCAAAATAAAGATTAACAAACTAACACACTTGTTTGGGTATTTTGGGGGGGGTTGTATGAATGAATGCATTACATCTTAAACTGAAAATACAAATCTGAAGTCTAATTAGTGAAAAAGTGACTTTTCTGTGCCTTTGGGTTAATCAGGACTACCTCAGCCACAGTTTGGCCATAGTATAGACCTGATAAAGTCCAGGTTTAGTGGTTTTATGTGTGAAAAATTTGAGAATCACAAATCCAGGATACTCTAGTGCCCCAGATTGGTAGCACTGAAGGATAAGTTAAATAGTCAAAAGATTACAAAGTACACTGAAGAATATCTTAATCTTGAGTACAATTTTTACTTTATTTTCATATTAAATGTGTAATTATAAACACTTCATTTAATTACACTAAGCATGAACAATATGAAGTAAAAATATTACAGTTTTAAAATCTATTTTGAGGACAATTCACATCTGCATTATGTCTTGATTCTGTTTTCAGTCTGTGACCGATATGTTTGAATGAAATCAGTTTAAATTACAAAATGAAACCTTATACCTTAAATCAAATACACTGTTCCCATTTACAAACAGAAAATCAACATTTATATACATCAGTACAGTTCAACATTAAGTTACATTTGTCAAATGTGCAAGATTAAGCAAAAATGTATACTGTGATCAAAGAAACAAGATTTCCTTAAATAATCTTCAAGTTTAACTGAAACACAAGCGGCTGGTTCAACAGAGGTTTGTCAAAGTAGGTACAGTGCCTTCTGTTTGAGGAGAAAGGGCCAAAGTCAAACTGTAGGAGCTACAGTTTGAAGAGAAGATCCCAGCGTGTGTTCATCATGCAAAATATTTAACACTTGAATTTTCTACCAATTCATACGTATTATAGAGGAATAAAACCGAAGCCCCAACAGTGAAATGAAGGCAGTCTGTTGTTGAAGCAGGATAAAGCAGCACTGAGTTTTGTTCTTAGTGTCTCTTCCATGATGCCTGAGTTCTTGCACCAAAGAAATGCTTTGCACAAACCAGCTCCATTTCTGGACAAATACAACAATGACAAAACTGATAATCAAGAAGTCCAATGCACAACTGTACACAAACAGCTCAATACATGTCTTATTATGTTATTAAAAAAATAAAACAATTGAACTAGTTTTCTGTATTGATGTGCAGCCATCTTAAGAGTACTCAGGCACTGCAATAAAACCAGTGATAAACAGCATAAAGCAACACAGACATTTTCCTCTTGAATCTCTTCTTGAAGAGTTAACCAAACTAACATTCGCAGAAATCTCAAAAAGTCTTAAACTGCACTTTTCACACACGAGAAGTGCTAAGATAAGGTAGTGATTATTCCTAAATGTGGATTTTAACCCATGTAATGCTACAGAGTCTCTCCAAATAATATGATATGAAACAATAATTTACTCTTTCAAAAGGCAACCACTGAAATCATGACACAATATGAAAGACTGATATGAACAATGAAGAAAACAGCTTATTTCCATACTCAAATGAAAAAGCTTAATCCTATGAAGCTGCATTAGATGTCCATGAAAAGTTTTTTAGTGTAATCAAGTAGAGAAGTGCACATGGAGACAAAAGCCCATAGACCTGGAATGTGCTTGATGAATCCATAAAGAAAACACTGTGCCTATTTTAGTGTTTTTTTAATCCATGAGAAACTGCATGAAAATGTAATCAGACAAACGCACACAAGGAGAGAAAAGGTGGCACAGATTGCTACTGGGCCTCGTCTGTCCTGTTGAGTTCATTGCAGCCATTTGATTCATGGTCTTGTCAGTGTAAAGTACAATTCTGCCTGAGAAAAACACCACCTTTGAATCCCCAAACACACCTGTCCTTTTTTCAGTCAAAGATTTAGTCGACAAAAGTGCAACTTTCATGTGTCAGTTATGTGAAGATGAATGCTTCCAACTTCTTTCTCATCAGTCCTTCTCTCCATCTTCCCCACTTCCTAAAAGGAGGACAAGATTTAAATATATATATTAAACATAAATGCAGTTTTCGAGGCATTTTGATAGACATGTATTGTATAAAATATTAAATCTATAAACCCGCTAACTTGCAAAAAAAGCTGAATAAAAATTAAAATGGAAAATAATAAGGGTACAATGTGTCACTTAAGGGGTAATTCTACTGTCATTTTACTTTTATTTGTCTGATACTTATATACAGTAAGATAAAAGATGGGAAAATAATACACTATAATATAATAATAAACTGCCGCCATGCCACACTTGCCTCCTTGTTCGATGTCTGAGTCGGTGAGGTGCGTCAGGGAGAAGCTGGCGATGCTGGCGGGGGAGATGGAGAAGCGTGAGTAGCTGGAGGTGGTGGTCCAATGGGGCTCTCGGGCCAGGCTTGTTGCCGCAGAGGGTGACAAAGCTTTGGGCCCCGGGGAGGAGAAGTCATCGTCCCACTCAAAACCACCTCCCTCTTCATCTGTGGAGCTCTCAGAGTTGGTGAAGCGGTTCAGATAGCTGGCAGTGGGACCCGAGCCACCGAACTCTGGGACATGACTGTTTGAGCTTCCAGAGTGGTCACCGAGTTCTTTGGTGGGTGTTTCCTTTAAAATAAAAAAAAAGAAATCAAATTATTTGCATTCTCACATAGATAAAAAAAAAAAAACTTGTTCTCAATATCAATATGTCACAATATCAATTTTTTGTATTATTGTAAGAAAAAAAAAAAATCTAACAAACAACAGTCAAATCTATGACGGTCTGAACACAAGACGCAAAAGTGACGTTGGGTCTTCACTTTTGAGTTTGGGTTTAGATGAGCGTTTTCGGGAGGAAATATGCAAAGTGTGTGGAATTCAATTGGGTATACATTATAGGCAGTTAAGTGGTTAAATATGTGATGTAAACACATACGCGAGGTGAGCAGATCTGACCAGAGTTTTGCGTCTTGGGAAGTGTAGACGGAAACGATGTGGCAGAGTGTATTCAACTTTTCCACTCTGGAGGGCGGTTTCAGATTTTTGCGTTTTTAAGCCCCAAAAACGCCATCACCATTTAAACAAAAGGCACTAAAATATTTTGTCATTCTTAATCGCAAGTTTTCTCATGTAAACAGTCCCTATGATATCTAATTTTCTTTCATTCCTCAAATATGTCACCAGCCTTTTGAAATGATGTCAGTAAACAGCAAGAGAAAACAATCATTTCAGTTTTTTTAGAGTACAGGTTAAATTAAAATTACTTACTTTGTTTCCCTACAATTACATTAAATTATTTTTTGTTAAGATTCTATGAGACTTGAATAATTATGCTTACTTACATCCTAGTTCAGTCTTTTCTTCTCATGTCAATCACCTGTTGTAATATGTCATCAGTTATTAACTGACCAACATTTGCAAGGATAGCATACTGGGATCAGTTCACAAGAGCGACAGTTTTAGAGATTCTCATACAACTATTGCCTATGGTTGGCTTATTTTTTTTTTTTTAATCCTATTGTATTCAAAGTAGTAGTCTAAACACTAATATTATAATATATGTCTGGTCACATATGTTATGCCTCTGTACAAACTATAATCCTATGAAACTTTACCTGGTCAAATAGGTACACGGTGACGTCATCAAAGAAGGACACGGCTCTCCTGGAGTTGTCTGCATTACCCGTCGTAGCCAAGCCAGGGGGAGAAGCGGCATTAATATTGAGCGAGGTGGGCTTCAGTAGACTTCTCAAGTTCTTGGCGCTTGTGTCGTCCGATATAATGAGCGGGACAGGATGCGTGGTCTCGTCCTCGCTGTCGGAGCTGGAGCTGTGAAGCCTGTACGCGCGCATGTCATCATCAGAATCCTCGCTGTTCTCGTCCTCCTCGTCCGCTTCCATGCCGTCCTCGTGACCGTCCAGTCTGCCCAGGTAACGCCCCTCCACATCCGGCTCTTTGATCTTGTTACCTTCGCTGGCGTGCAGTCGGGTTAGGCTGCTGTGACCAGTGTTGTCAGACACAGGTGAAAGATCGTCAGCGGTTGGTTCGTATTCTGATCGTTCAGTGGTGGTCAGATTGTTAGAAAACTCTGCATTTTCAGCTGGACTGTTGAGGTCATCTATAGATTGGATGGGCTCTTCTTCATTGCTAACTGGAATATCACGTTCCAAATTTACTAAATTGTCAAGTTGTGAATCGGATGAAACTTCAACTTCAAGTGTCAGGTCACTAGAATTTTCAGAAACATCTGCATTTGTACTTGCGTTTTCCTCATCAGCTTGCACCTCATCACTGATATGTCTATCTGTACTGCTCAACCACGTGGCCTCAACTGAACCTCCAGCCACAATCTCCTCTGATTTCTTGTCCGGTTCGGATTCGTTGTCTGAGAAGTAGGCGGAGTCTCTATAATGGCTGCTCATGATAGGCTGAGGTGGAATGACATTTTCTGGCTGTTCTGGAGGTTCATCTGAGCTGGCATCGTCGAGCCTCTCCGCGTCCGATATGACTATTTCAGGTGGGGTTAAACTTTGCACGGGAGCCTCTAGTTCCGCTTCACTCTCACCGATGATGCCATTTTGAACCGGATCTTTTACTCCAGGTTGAGAATTCCACTCGGGAGATTCCATGTTTTCCGTTTCATAGCCGCTGTCAGATATTTTATACGGGGGTTGGAGTTTGCTTGGAGCTGCCTGAGTTGTCACATCATCTTGCTTCTCTTCGATTCTGTGGATATCATAGGAGTCTAGAGAGTCGGGTGTTTCTGCTGTAGTTTCCATTGTTGGTAAAGTTGTAGATATGCTGTCTTCAAGTAAACTATCCTGACTGATTTGGTCTAAAGACGGACCAGAGACCAATAAAT